TAGTCAGAATCAATTCTGCCACCGAATCTTCAGGAACAGTTACAGATACAGCATCAGTTCGACCTTGCGAGTCAGTTCCCAGCGTCTGTGGCTGGACGGTCCAGGCAGAGACCCTGGGTTTCCTGTGTTTGCTCTGCGTCAAGGTTTGATGCAATCGAGGCACGTGGATAACGGTTTGCGGTGTCACTGCAGGCCGGATGCAGACTCTTGCGGTATAACAGCTGTCGGAGCACTGGAAAGCATGCATGCAGTCTGCCAGAATGGTATCACTACAGGCAGACTGGATAGAAACTGTTTCTGGATTTTCATCTACTCCTTTTTAGTCTCGGACGTACTTACAAACTGGGAGTTGAGAACAAAGACTATATGCTCTTTATCGATTGACGCGCCGTGCGAAGATACATTTGATGCTAAGTCCTCCTTCCATAACTGCTGAATGCTTTTGGCAAATGCCATGCCACCATTTTCAAAAAGTTGTACGAAGCATTACGTTGATCAGTTCAGCGCGAAATCGTGGAGATCTGTACGATTTCTCGTTTGACTGATCAGCGGAACGCATCGTACAATTTCTTGAAGAACGGTGGCATGGCATTTGCAAAAAGCATGCAGCAGTTGCGCAAGGACAAACACTATATGCTCCTGAACACGATGCAAATGTGATCGAAAGAAAAGATGGCGTTCGTCCCAGCTCAGAACAGGTTCTGTGCAAACAGTTGCAGCTATTTGTATGTCACTGTCAACAGCTGTCGTGGGCGCATTGATGCAATGTGCGAAGATGATGCCTGCGATAGCGAAGTTTATACTAACAGCTTGTGTCGGCACATTGATGCGCTGTGCGAAGATGATGCCTGCTGAAGAAAGTTTATCAGAGTGCGACAGTTGTTACGAGAAGGAAGTGTGTCATCCGATGAATTGAGGCGAGGTAGCTACCATTATTTGTATTTGGCTCTACTGCCTTATGATGCCATGTAGGCAGATGTCGCGAGAGCTTCATGTCATGAGATGGTACACTGTCAACAGCTGTCGTGGGCGCATTGATGCAATGTGCGAAGATGATGCCTGCGATATTGAAGTTTGTGTTAACAGCTTGTGTGGGCACATTGATGCACCGTGCAAAGATGATGCCTCTCCTCTTGAAGAGAGTTTATCACACTGCGACAGTTGTTCGAGAAGGAAGTGTGTCATCCGATGGATTGAGGCAAGGTAGTTTCCATAGCTCCTGTGGCCACATTGAAGCACTGTGCGATAGTTGATGCGAGAAGCAAATGCGTTATCCGATGAATCATAGCGGCAAAACTTCGAAAGGTGCAGCTGTGTTTGCTTCTCATGCGCTTGTCTGCACCGGTGTCGTGGGGCAGTAGTTGACAAGCCAAGAGGAACAGGAGCGTTGTAGGCTAAATTCTGCACTGCCCATGGACAGCTGTTTTGTTGCAATTTCAGCGTGATCGCATCTTCTGATACTACCTGCCAGGTACTGACCTCATCGCGTACATGGTCCACGCCGACACCCGCACTCACACACACACACAGACACACACATACACACACGTACACACACACATACACACACACACAGACAAACACCCACACACACACACACAGACAAACACACACACAGACAAACACACACACAGACAAACACACACACACACGCACGCACGCACGCACACACGCACGCACGCACGCACGCACACATACACGCCCACGCACACACACACACCCACACACACACACATCATCCAAACGCCAGTCGTGGGCCATCCGTTTTCGTGATGGTCTGCGCTGTACGTTTGCGGACACATAATCAATGGTCACGCATCGATTGCCCTTCGCCGCACTTCCTGGCGTGGGGCATCTTTGATCGTGGCCGCACACCACACACACATACTCGCACACACACACACCTCACACACAAACACAACTCATCCATACACAACTTACTCACACATACTCGTCCACACATAACTTACTCCACACCAATCCTTCACCATCTCTTTTCTCTTTCTTGCTTACCCCATGCCGTCTTTGCCTTTCTTTTGTTGCTTGTTGGAAGAAGTTGACTTGTGGGGTTATCCGGTCCTTTAATTGGCATATAATCAAACTCAGCGTCGGATCCTCAGCATTTTTCGCTTCCTGCACCTGCCTCAGTACTGGACGTTTGAGTGGTGGTCACAAACAAACGTGGTGTATATGCGATTACATTGGATTGGAGAATTCTATATTGGGAGCACGGAAACTACGGTTTTTCTGCGAGAGCAATCTCGCACACGCAAATACAAACAACATGTGTCGCAACAGTTGGCTTTCTTTGAACCTGCCATCAAACTATGGTGTAAACGAGACAATTTCTACCAATTTTGCATTTTTCCTCTTCGTTCTCAATGTGGGGACGCTGAACATCGCGTGAGCCTGGAACAAGCTTTACAACAAACATTGCGGCCTATTTACAAGTGGCCTTGAATCAACCCTCTATTGAAACGTTGGCGAATTGGAAAGACACGTTTTGGTTTCACATCGGTTAAACCAACAGTGGCATTTGGACGTAGATTGGTACGTCGATACAAGAAACGCACACGAGCCCAATATTGTTCTCTATTTGAGCAACAATTTGACAATCATTTGCGTATTTTTCGACTTCTTTACATGTTGGGATCTGATACACTGATGAAATTTGAATGTTCGAAATTATTGAGATCATCTCAAGCTGATCATGACTACATATTTTTACTATGCAGATTGAGTCGAAATTTGACGGAACCTTTTCGGTCAAGAGCTCAGCAGCAACTCAAGCTCATTTTGCAGTTCCGGAACTCAGAATTTCCACCTGCTAATGTACCTGTACAATTACTTATTCTTGACGATGAAATGGAATCACAAATGAGGTCTTGGCTGAAAGGCTTTATCGTACATCACCAAGTCAATTTTCCTCCTTTCCACAAACCCAAGGTACCTTTTGTTTCAACCAAGGGTCGTACTCTGGGGTCATATCTTTTCAATTTTCGACTGCACTTGCGTTGGTGGCACCCAACTGACAGACCTACTTGCAGATGCCATTTGTTACCAAAGACGAGCATTTCTGAAACACCTCATGTTTCTATTTTCGCTGCTGATATCTCTGGTATCTGTTCTGTGTACACTGCTCATATGGAGGACCAGATCAGTCCATCTTGGAACAAGTTTGTGGTCTTGCCCCATTTCGGGGCTAATGTGTGTGTGTACACCGTTATAACAAACGGTTTTAGTTCTTTTCATTGCTCTTGTACTATTCTAAAAAGCAGGGGGCAGAGGTACCCATGTCACTTCCTCTGCCAACGAAGCTGGGTGACATGTGGTAAGGATATAGATCAGGGACGCCTGATCTACGTACCTGCTATAGTTTCAACTGTTGATTTTCTGTTCTTGTTTATGAGCTGTGCGTTGTTTCTTCGATCGTGAATCTGTGTCCGCTGAAATTCTACTGCCAGGCAACTCAGGAAATCAGGCGAAGACTATGACATCATTCACACCTTTTACTGGCCATTACCCCACAGGTGCTGAAAAGATCTGCGTGTAAAAGCGTCTGTGTGTTGTAAGGTCTGTGTGTAAAGGTCTGTGATGTAAAGGGTCTGGTGTGTAAACACGTCTTGTGTGTAAGTGTCTGTGGTAAGCTTCTGGTGTGTAAAAGACGTGCTGCGTGAAAAGCGCCTGTGCTGTAAACCGTGGCGTGTAAAAAGTTGGTCGTGTGTATAAAAGCGTCTGTGTGTAAAAGTCTCTTGTGTGTAAACGCCAGGTTGTGAAATGTTTGGTGATTAAGCATCTGCGTTTTGTAAAAGCGCCTGTGTGTAAAAGCGTCTGCGTGTAAAAGTGTCTGTGTGTAAAAGCGTCTGTGTGTAAAAGTCTCTGTGTGTAAACGCGTCTGTGAAAGTGTTTCTGTGTAAAAGCGTCTGTGTCTAATTTCACAACTTTCCCCTCCATAGCTCATATAAAATTCACCGTTCATTCACCGACTATTTTTTACGACTACCATACTCAGAGCTGCTTGAAGGACGTGTTTTTCGCTCTCGGGCCAACCGTCGTCTAGTAATGTAAATGCAAAAATATCAAACCGGGGCAAGCCACCAGGCCCATGACCTATAGCGCTACTGGGGGGCAGCGTCATGCAAACAAATTAATGAGTAGGAGGGGCAAGCCACCATCCCGCTCTCAATCCTGAATTATACGCACCAAATTAATGAAGAAATTATGTGGTGACTTGACAGAAAACTTACGAAATTGCAGTGTTATGAATTGATTACTGTTATAAATGCTCGAATCAGCGACCACATAAACCATGCTTAGCAAATTCAACTTTGTTTGTTCTGGTCAAGAACTTGCAGCATAGACCAGTTGTGGGCTGGCCGGTATCACCAAGGACTCCAAGGACTGACAGAATTTGTTTGCTTTCTTTCTGGGTGACAAAAGCGACAAGCTCGGCAGACGGTCTGTGGCGAAGTTGCGCTTTCTGCAAGCATTGAAGAAACAAAGGCATGTCTTTCAAGAGTTTCCACATATTGCACAACTGCTGCATGCGGCCAGTGATAGCTGCACACAAGTGAGGGTTTTCTTCTTGAAAACCGCTGCTGATGTAAACAGTCCTGCGGATGCTGACCGCACAGCAATACTTCACAGCTGGTCCCTCGCCATGACTAAACGCTTGAGGGCTGAGGAACAAACCTCCGGAAAGGAATGCGTGCCACAAAGTTTCTTCAGCAGGATCTGTGACATCTGGAACAACAAACGCGTCCGCACGCAGAAGGGAAGATTCGTATTTTGCACCCAACTTGTCCATGTGCTGGTCCAGCACAAGGCTTGGAGCGGCTTGGATTGTTGAAATAAAAACTTTCTTGCCACTGCACAAAGAAAAAATTGATGCCGCAGCTTTCTCTTTTTTCTTTGTGTCTCGGATTTTTTGGCCAAGTAGCTTCTCACTTTCTGACTTCTCGCAGCTTTGAAGTCCTCCACGGCTTGCTCATGGTCTGGACCTATTCATTGAGTTTTTCTTCCGTTGTAAGCCCATTGTGAGCAGCTGCTTCCAAAGCACGTTCTTTACGTCTTTTTTTTTGTAACTGCGTTTCTTTCTCATGTTCTTGTGTCCAATGCTCGTTTTCGTGGACCAGAAATCCTGGTGTCGGGTCATCTCCGCATTTTTTCACTTCCTGCGCCACTGCAGCAGCACGTTGCCTCCGAAAAGCCTTAGTAAGCAAAATCTTTGTTCCTTCTGATCTAATTTTTGAGTGTTGAGCAGAAACTAGTTTTGAGACAAGGCGCTTGCCATGTGCCTTCTTTGGCCCTTTTCTTCCACCCACGCTGCGCTGCTACAGATCTTAAGACTGAGTCTTTGGAACTTGCGGCTTTCACTGTCCCAAAAAGTTGAGACCAAATCACCGCAGCAGCCTTTGCCAACTCCTGGTCTTGAGTTTCGGTCCAATTTTGTGTGGTCAAGAGGAAAATTTCATCCCTCAGGTTCACTTCGGTCATGTTTCCTATGCTTTTTGTCAATGTTCGGACACCTGCAAAGTTTTGCTCCACACCCGAACTGGAGCAGCCCCAGCCAATAGCTCTACTCAGAGCCTGCCTGAGTTCCTCTTGGGGGTGGTGCTGGAGATTTCGCTTGTCCTCCAGAACTGTATCCAAAGCTGCTTTCCAGGCCATCACTGGTTCCATGTCTGCAGCGGATTCAAACTTGTGCTGAGCTACAGGGTGGTAGTCTGCAAAGTGGCTTGACAACGCGCACTCATCCAAGGACAAAACGTTTGACACTTTGTGGATCTTATCGCTAACATCTCGTGCTTCAGTCCTGTGGTCGTCTCTTCTGTGCACTTTGTCATTCAACGATTCCAAATAGAAAATGGACATAGACTGCAAAATCTCAAACGCTGGAAACTCCGTTGTGACCACTCTCAGAATCCAAGCGCCTGGTCAACTGCAGATTTTCCTCTCCAGCATCAGCAAGCATCCCAATGAGCAAAACTGTTTCCTCAGACAGAAGGTCTAAGAATGTCCGAGCTGCGTGGCCAACCTTTTCATTTTTCCTCTCTTCATGGGCAGACTGGGCTGTTCGGATCACAGCATCTAACGTGAGGCAAACTTTAGCAAAGGGCATGCTCCACGAATCGAATCGGTGCTTCGCTGCAGAAAATTTGTCCGAAATCTCATTCCACAAGGGAGTGAACTGCATGGCTCGAACATTCTGGGCATACATGGACCGCAACACATCGGAGAAATGAATCTGTTGCACAATGCCATCGGTGTCCATGAACACTTTCTTCACAATTTGGTCGAGGACACGGTCGCATTTCCATGTCCGGCTGACAATCCTACGGGCGGCATGGGGCTTGTCTTTGTTGATGACCTTCAAGTTTGGGAACACTTCTGAGAATGTAGCCATGTTCACATCCATAGCTTCAAGCAAGGCAGGACAAGTTCCGGGGCAAGCCTCCAGGAATCTATTATTACCAGATTCAAGGATCTGGCCAGCCAATTGCTCATCTGCAGCTGCGTCTGCGTTGAAGACCTCTGTGATCTCAAAGAGATGGGCCAACAAAGCTTTGTCCATGGAGGTGACATCTTCATTCAGCGCCTGGCTCGTTTCAAAGGATTCGCTGTGCTTGGAATGGTGAGCACAAATCCGCCAACATCAGCAAGACACATTTGGCAATGCCGTGGGAGTCAAAATCTTCAAGCTTTTGGCACCCCACCAAAGCATGAACTGGCCGTAGCTGTGGGCCACAACCTTGCACACGCAAAAGTAGTCTCCCTTTGGAAGCATCCGAGTGCAAAGTCAAACAATTGCAACTCCTCAAGTCCCTGCGAGTTTGAAACCTTAAAGCTTCAGCCAAGCAATACTTAGCTTTGAGCAACTTGTCACGTTTCAAAGTTCCGGTGCCTTCAGCCCCTCCTGCTTTACCCTGGCGGACTAAACGCAGAGCTTCCACGAAAGCAGCAACTGGAGGGGCAACAAGGGCCAAGCGAACGTCAGGATCAGAAACTGCTATCCTGTGGCTCTTAGCTCGCTCATGTTTATCGAAGTGCGCCTTCTGCAACGAGGAAACTGTTCGAAACTCAGCGTGTAACTTGCCATGAAGCTTGCACGCCTTACAGTACACACTGTTCACTTCTCCAGCTGGGTTCCTTGTGCAGTGTAGCCAAGGGTACTGTGCCATCCATCTGGGCCCAAGTCTTTTCCATTTCTTGCCAAAGTCTGTCACAGGCGCGATCTGCTTTGGCACGAAGTCCTGGCAAATTCAAGAAAAAAAAGCATTTTAGAGACCCATGTTGGCACTGTCCAGAGCTAAGGCCGTGATTTGCAAAAACTCCACTTCTCGAACGGAGTTCCTGTCGAGAGCACCTCTGGATCCGGGAAGTCTTCTGAACAGTCGGGGGCGCCCCGGACTGTCCAGAGGAAACTTTTCCATCATTTTTCTTGACTTTTTGAAATTTTCAAAAGTCAAGAAAAAAATGAGTGAAAAGTTTCCTCTGGACAGTCCAGGGCGCCCACTGTCCACAAGACCTCCTGGATCCAGAAGTGCTCTGGACACAGCAGGTCTGCGATTTGTTATTTGGAGTTTTTTTTTTCCGCACCCTGTCCAGAGGGGCTGGCCCCTGGAATTGGCAAAATATTTGTTGAAAAAACAATTGATCTGAGCCTCCTCTGTACATTCGATGGGGCGCCCGGCTGTCGAGAGAATCTATTTCTGTCTAACTTTGAGTTTTCCAATTATAACCTGCAAAATCTATCTCGCTATTTAACATTCGGTCCTGCAAGCATTGTTCAACATCCATGTGCTCTGGCAGTAAATCCTCCATGAGTTGGGCCTTGTGTCCCTGCAGGCGGTGCAAGCCACCGGCCACCAGTCCAAACAACTGATGTCTACTTGTTTGAAGCAACCAAGCAGCGGCATGGGCACGCATGCACTGTCATAGGACCCCCCAAATAGAAATTCTCCGACTACCTACTGTCAGTTCTAAGACCTTGCTTGAGAGTGTGCTCAGCTAAATCTCGCGACGCAGAGGCACTATACTTTTCCGAAGGTTCCACAAGGTGGCAATGCACTGCTCTGCAATCACGAATTGGTGATGGTAGCACTAGTTTGCACCACTGAATTATGAATTACAGAGGGCAAGTTCCATGATGCAAGCCACCAATGTAACAGCTCACGAAAAAGGCGGCTCGGACTGCCAGCAGAGCCTAATTTCAGAATTGGTATGGGGCAAGGCACCAAAAACAAAATCAAAGCCAAATTTGAGGAATGGGGCAAGCCACCGAAACCAAATTCAGATGTTGCAAACTTCTCTGTCTATGAGTCTGTGTGACCATCTCTCCTCACGCAGCGGCACTTCATTCCACTGAAGCGGCTGTAGTCGACAAAGTCATGCTTCATGCTCGGCATTGCCCATGGGTCAAAATGTTCGGGGGGCACCTTGCCGACCATTTTCAGCAAATTCAACGCAACCCTGCCGATCACACTGACAGTGAAAGCGTTGCCAAGCATGCCTGCATACTTCTTCTTGCTGACTCCGGCAGGGATGCGTAAATGTCCTCCTGGAAACCCCTGAAGTTCTTCAATTTCATTCAAAGTCATGTGCCGCTGCATGGGTAGCAACATGTGACCTCCAGACTTGCACCGACTGTGCGTCAACGTCGGTGACTTTTCAGGCAGGGCTGTCGCGCCGCGCTTCAAGCTGCACCCCACATCGGCGCACCACACAGCAGCCTGCGACGCCTTCAATCCAAACATGTAAGTGGTTACTGTGGCTATTTTTACGCACTCAGTACCTACAAATGCAGAATCGCAATTCTTTCAATCAAGGAAACAACCAGAACAAATTATTAACGACGAGCTAAAAGATGACCAATTTCCGGTAGCCAAAGAAAGAAAAATGATTGAGCCAACACAGGCCTTCGTGGCAGAACACTTCAGAATGGAATCCTGGATCATTTTGGCGACTGACACCAGGTGCTGCTGGACCCTTGCTTTGCCTTTCTCCGTGGTCACGCCGTGGTGTAAGTCAGAGACATCTGTGCAGTCCAGAAAACTGGACACGCTCCTGCAAGGGATGCGGGCTGGCCACTGCCATTTCATGGAAGGGTCCGCCTTTGCAATTTTCCAGCCAACAATGTAAGTGCGTAGCCGCGCTTGGGGCAAGCCACCTACAACGCTTGTGTCAAGAACCTCAGGAGGCATTGTCATTGTCGTAAAAATGATGAATCAACAGGACAACCAAGAAGCTTAAAAAACAAATCAACAATTAACCAAATAATTTTTGCAATGAACGAGAACCTTGCATTCCACTTGGTACACTTTCTCGCCATTTGCATCTTCGATGGAACGTAGGAAAGCCAAAATGAAATCAAAGAGGAGCTTGAACATCTTGTGCCGCGCTAATGGTTTGACATTCTCCAAGGCAAATGTCAGGGGCTGAATGGTCTTAATCGTCTGCAGAACACGCAGCAGCACATGAGCACGTTTATCGTGCAAGCCATTCTGCAAACCAGCCATGCTGAATGGCTGGCAGGGTGGGCCTGCAGTGTAGAGGTCGATTTCCGCACTGATCTCGGAATCATCCCTTGCCATGATGTTGTTGAAATCCGAGGCTTGCTGCCAGCATGGGGCAAGCCACCAATGCCCTCGACTGCATAAGCTCCACCAGTAGCATAATTGCTCTCCAACACTTTTCTGGCGTGGGCATCTTTCTCAGACAAGGACACCGTGCAGGGCTCGAGGCCTGCCATTTTCAAAGCAGCAGTAGCAGTGTCCAGACCTGAGCAATCTGAGCCAGTGACAATCATCGGAGCATTTCCCCTCGGATTGAACTGCCTTGCCTTCAACTCGCCCTTTCCTGGCCTGGTGGGTCGCCCGGTGGCCTTCTGGCCAGCCTTGTACTTGGCCACTGCTCTTCTGTTTTTTTTGTGGGTGTGGTTTTTGCAGTCTTTGCTTTTGGGCCCTTTGCTTGAAATGCTTTGGGTTTGAAACCCAAGAGGCGTGTGGCCATGTGGCGCCGCTTGAACAGAGGGATGAACCTCTTTTCCTGTCGGCCCTGTGTTGTGCAAGCCCAGCGTGGACAAACTCAGCCTCAGCTTGGGCAAGTTCCAGCTCGTCCATGGCTTGGTCTCCAGACGTGAATGGTCCTGAGATCTCACTTCAAGCCAAATGCCTGCAGTGTTATCATGGAAAGTTGCGAATTAAACAAATAGTCTAGAATCAATTAACACTGCAAGGGAGCCCATGACAACACATGTCTGGCTGAGCCAACTTGTCTCAGTCGGTTTGTCTCTGTATCTGTCCATCACCGACAAACACTGATATATTCGATGGACAACCACCGATAGTCGATGGACCGATGATCTTGACGGACAGACAGACAGACAGACAGGCAGGCAGGCAGGCAGGCAGGCAGACAGGCAGACAGACAGACAGTGACAGACAGACAGACAGACAGACAGACAGACAGACAGGCAGGCAGGCAGGCAGGCAGGCAGACAGACAGTGACAGACAGTGACAGACAGTGACAGACAGTGACAGACAGTGACAGACAGTGACAGACAGTGACAGACAGTGACAGACAGTGACAGAGAGTGACAGACAGTGACAGACAGTGACAGACAGTGACAGACAGTGACAGACAGTAACAGACAGTAGCAGACAGTAACAGACAGACAGTAACAGACAGTAAGCGACAGTAAGCGACAGTAAGCGACAGTAACAGACAGTAACAGACAGTAACAGACAGTAACAGACAGTAACAGACAGTAACAGACAGTAACAGACAGAAACAGACAGTAACAGACAGAAACAGACAGAAACAGACATACAAAACACTGGCCGACACAGGTCTGGCAAACACAGGCAAGCTGGCAGACGCAAACAAACACTTGACTGAAGACGCAGACAAACAACAGACAGACAGACAAACAGACAGACAGACAGACTACCGACAACTGACACGCTGACAAACATTCGCAGGTAAATGCCACACTTTTTGATGATGCTGCTACGTTCCGCCGCCATCACATATCTTTGGTTCTCCTATGCATGTGTCTGTGTACCCGTGAGTGCGCTTGTGCGAAATGATGATTGCAAGCAACCCTTTCAAAGTCCAGGGACAACCGTCAGGTGCTATTTCTCGTCAGCACTGCATCATCGCTGGTCTTGCGCAGGGAAGCAAAGTGGGCACCTTTGACATGCCAGCTTTCAACCAAAAACAGTGAAAATTGCACGGACACGCAACAGTAGCGCACGTTGTCACTTCCTTGCCTGGTCCTGGTCCAAATTTCATCAGCCGGGTTTCTCACAATGTGTTGGCAGTCATTGCTGATATGATAAGAAACGCCGTCGCGGGCAACCCACAACCTGTCAGGAAGCGGCTGCTCCTTTGCACACCAGGACCAGCAAGACATGCAAGATCCCATGGTTCAGCTGCCGGGGGATTTCCAAAAGCAGGGGGCAAGCCACCAACAAACTTGAGACTGCAGACTGCAGAGTCGCAAAGGGCTCAATGATCAGATGGGGCCTGGCCAGCTGCCAGTAAGTGAAGTTAAACTGCTTTGTCGGCTTTGAATCACATGATTGTCAGCTGCCACTCAATGAAGTTGAACTGCTTCCACTTTGAATCGCACCATTTTTTGCATTTTGAATTATCAAGTATGAAATATTACAATTTGATTAATTTAATCTGTAATATGCACACATCTTTCCAATATGTATATATATATATAGTTTTTTTTAGATGCAGTTTCTGAGGTACTATAAACATGGAAGAATGATCTGCATTTTTTCAAGACAAACCCCTATTTATTAGATACACTTTGGATAAGAAACCTGTTTTTTCTGTGTAAGGAATTGCTTGTAGGTAATTTTCGAAGCAGCAAAGAAGCAAATCGCACAAAAAACTTTAAAAACAGCCTCTCTCCACAATCCAGAATACTAATAACATGTTCTTTTAGGCATCCAAAGGATTTACCTGCAATTCATGTGAATACCCAGAAGCGGTTTTTTTAGGCATCAAAAGTTTGCCAAACTCAGACTGGGGGCCAAATAAGAGCCTTTGTGTGGGACTGACATCGTCTCACCATAATTTGTTGCTGAAGGACCGAAAGCGTTTCTTTAATTCATTTTGTTGGCAACCAAAACTACAACCTTTACATGTATAATCATGTCAAAAAATGTCAATCATGTTTCGGACTGAAACCAATACACTGCTGGGAACCTTTTGGGGCCAACCAAGTCTTTGACGACAACCAGTCTTGGTTCCTTTTTCTGGATCTGCATTTGATTTTGGGATCCCCCAGTGCAGCACTCAGCTTGGCGACAAAAAAGGAATGTGAGCTTGTCTGACAGCTGATTTTTGAATTTGAATGATTCTGAAAGTTCACGCGTAATGGCTTGGATTTTGAATTTGAATTCATGAGTAACGTCTTTTGTGATGTTAGTTTGGAATCAAAATCACGGCTTTGATTCAAGCATTCACGTCAAAGTCACTCAAACCACTCTCAGATGTCAGAGTCAGAAAAGCACTCAAATCACACTCAGGATCAAAGTCATGTTTATATGATGTTTCAAAGAACTCACTGTCAAATAATATCAGTTTTGAGACATATGTCAGGGGCAGAGTCAGACATATGTCAGAATCCAACCATGCGCAGCCATTTAGGTCAAATTCGTTTTTTGCAAATTTTGTGAGGGGGCCATGTCTGGCAACCCGGGTTTTGAACACCCGCTGACCCGCTATCTTCGCAGACAATTGGAAGCCCAAAGAGAACAAAGAGAACCAGAAGAAGAGCCAGCTATTACATTGTGATCTACCACGAGAACGGCTGGAAACTCACTGGGATCAGACGATTTAGGGGATCGCCTCGTGCTGATTTTCAACCAAGGACATTGGGTGTTAATTCAAAAGCGCCATTGGACATTCATAGTTGAGAGTTTGGACCCGCACGAGAGAAGGGAGCACATGGAATATTGAAAATAGATTAGATTCTGTTGTAATATTAAAGTTGTTGTTTAAATTAATCCAGCCATGACGTCTCAATAATGTTTGTTGTATTTACTCCATTCTCTCCTCCCCCCTGGAATTGTTTTGGAAGGTAAAGCTTCTTGGAATTGACAAAACCAGTCCGAGAGAGGTTCTACATGGAATTTTCCAGGTAGGTTGACAAAAACATTCCGAGAGAGGTTCTACATGGAAATTTCCAGGTAGGTTGACAAAACATTCCGTGGAGGCTTCTACATGGACTTTTTAAACATTCCGTGGAGGCTTCTACATAGAATCTGGCAAAATTCCATGCACTATAGAACCTGGAATAGCTCAGAGCCTGAGCGTGCTGATAAAAAATGTTTTGATCGCACAGCTGTTTCGATGATACGCTGGACATTGACTTCATTCCCAGGGAAGTCCACGTAAGGGTTGCAACCAGCCATGGCTTCTAGGCGGCTTTGCAAGTAGCTCAATTTGCAAGTAGCTATTCACACAAATGGAGCATATATTTATACATGTGCATGTATACATTTTTACATGTAAATTTATATATATATATATATATTGGTATACATATGTATGCTGTATGCTTGATAGCTGTCTTTACCAAATTTCTTGGAACAGGATCAGGCTCCTGTATGGACAGCCCCCCAGAACACTCAAAAGGCTAGAGATTCAGATACAATCAGACTCACTCTCAGAGTCAGACTCAGTCAGAATCAGCAAAGACATTCATTTACCTGAGTTTTTTGGATATGTTTCACTTTGACATGGCTGACTTGATACGTTGGATTTGATGCTGTCATTGCCATCTTTTTTTCCGCTTTTGCAAATGCGATCAGATACCAACAGACCATGGCGCCAGTTATGACTTGGAAGCTCCCAAGCTCCACCTTTGAAAAGCACGATTGTCCAAAAAAGTATATATGTTGCAAATATAAAGACGAGTAGACATATCACTCTGGAGCTCCCTCATGGCCGTTGCCAACAGGAACCTTCCCATTACGGGATGCAAGAATTCTGGCTCTGATTTCAGATTCCATCCAAGCTCGGTTGGCATTCTTCATCTTGTCAGGTTCACCCTTGTGATCCTTCAGGTATTGTCCAATGAATTTGAACTCAGGGCACAGGTAAAAAATGCAACAAACATCACACAAGCAACAAACATCACAAAAACATCACACATGGCAGTTGTTTCAAAAGGACACACATCACACAAGCAAGAAACACTCAGACTCAATCTACGTCTATGTCGCTCCAAGGCACTCGCTCAGACATCAAATTCAAAGGTTTGGGTTCTTCTGGTACTTCAGCATCAGGCACGGGATGACCAACAGGTGCAGCTGCAGCGGGATCACCTCCATCACCACTGCCGCCGCTGCCAGCAGCGTCTCTGGGGGTCCCCTTTGAAACCCATTTTGAGTGCCAAGTATTTGAAACATCCCTGGCTCTGATCTTGTGAATTTCTTTCAAAATCTCCTCTGAAGGCGGCGACAGTGAGCCCATCACAGTTCCTTTTTTGAATTTGGGGTCATCAATGAGGTCAGCAGCCTTGGCTTTGATGATCTCTTGAGGGTCTTTGAGGTCATCAGAATCTGAATCAGCACTGTCACCAACACATGGAGCCACAGTCTCACAGTCGTCAGCAGCAGCAGCATCAGGTGTCACTGGTGCCGCCCGGGATTTGCGGGTAGGAGGTGTAACGGGTCCGGCATGTCCTCATCACAAAAAGGTTTTTTGCGCTTGAGTGTCTCCTGCTTCTGAAGCGTCTGCTTCTCTTGCTGCTTCTGATGTTGTTTCTCCTCCTTCTTCTCATCCAAAGGGTCACCAAACAGGTCCTCTTGCTGTGAGTCTGCGACCTGGCTATCAGATTGAATCCCAACTGGTTTTGCAAGTGCCCAAACTGGAAGCGTATCCTCCGCATCCTTTCGAGGTTTGTCTGTGTGCGAAATGGGCTGGAACAATGCACCTTCAGAGTGGCTGCCACCATCTGCAAAGTCGACGTTGTCCTCATCAGAGTCAAGGATCAGGGAAGCTGAAGCCATTGTCTCGCCCAGAAAAACAATGACAGAGCTTCCACGGAATCCGGAAGCACTTCTACTTCAGCTATGTTGCAAAATCAAACTGAGCCACAAAGCAAGTGAGCAATGTGATTGTGATTGAGATTGTGTCTGAATCTGAGACTGATTTTCACAATCTCGTGGTGTTGATTCTGAAAGAAAGGTCGTCCACTTTGTGACTGACTCTGAATACGAGACTGGATGTGAAGAAGCTTTTTTCCCCAATGTCCCGCAGCACTGATTGTGACTAGAACAGACTTTGCTCAGTCACCTACCAACTGCAGGTTGAAACTCAAAAGTAGATTGGGCCACAATGAGTGGCATGTCAAGCCCATCGCTTTCACCACACTGCTGCAAAACGGCAAGCACTATTGGAAATCCTTTGTCACCACATTATAGTTGTTTGCTGTTTAGTTGTTGTTTATGCCCAAAATTGAGTGTGGCTTTCAGAGCCAAGCCACAGCAGACTGGGCGTCTTAGACGACTCGTTGCCACTCCCCTTTCTCCAAAGACAGGGCATGGCGCAAATGCCACAATGGCTTTGCAGGAGCCACCACTCCTTCACTGGCATACTTCCCTCAACCTCCAAACCTTAAGAGTCAGGCAGAAACTAAAAGAAGCAAAAGCACAGTGAGGCAAATTGAAACAAGCACAAACTGTTGTTGAAACAAGTAGCGATTTCCAAGGCAGCAGATTCACGCAGTTTCTCGGCATCCACATAGCTGGCACAGGTGCTGTGCTTCAAAGTTCTGAGCTGAACATTGTTTGGTTTCCAAACCAATGGGTTGTCGACCTTGGGTGACACATTGAACCTGAGCCGGCATAGGACATGGTTTGAAACACAGAGGAAACGAAACATGTTGAACCTGACGGGGTCAAAACATGTTGAGTCTGACAACACATTTTGAGTCTGACAAAATTGAAGTCCTTGAGCCTTTCACTTTTTGATATCGTAGATTATCGTAGTACAAGAT